CATAGGGCTTGCCCTGCATATAATCAATTTTCGTCAATCTTTAATGGTCCCTCGAGTGATTTAAGTATGTCCAGCATGTGCGCCTGAGTCTCAATTCAAATTCACTTACATCAGCCTCTGGTCAACTCAATTCTCTGACTCAATTTCGAGTTTCATGGGGGAAGAGGGAGCAGCTCTCAGTGGACCTCCCTCCTCCTAAAAAAGAAATGGAGCTTCCTGATGCAATTAATCGCCCTGAAGTCATTCAGTGCTTCTGTGCGTCATGTGTCGGAATCTCGCGCCAACACTTGCAAAAATACTACTCCTTGAACCTCCAACAATTTTTCCTACTAAAACTCAAAAACTTGATACTCTGAAATTTCATCAAACAAAAACCGGAAAACTCTGCAGAAAAACATAAAATAGAGTGAATGGTCGTCCCAGACACTATCAGCCATTCTTCACCCACAAAGTCTTCAAACGTCCTCTTTATACTTTTCTCCTCCTCCCCCATTCGCTCAAGCATGTGGGGGAGAAAAAAGCATAAGCTGACGTTCTCTTGGGTTATTCGATTTCTTTAATGAAATTGTCGTCTGTCTGCGTCAGGACCAGGGACACGTCGATAGGAGAGTATTGGAGTTCTGCCCCCCCCCTCCCCCTTCCCCCTTGTGACAGAAGTCACCCCTCACCATATATGTGTCGTCTTCCAACCTCCCCTGATTCAATCAATGATTGAAATAGAGAGGAAAACTACTCTGACAACATTAACATTGCTGAGAAACTTCACTAGACTACTTCAAAAATGTGCGCATCCAGAGGATGCGAGCATTTTTCAATATTCCTGACATCGTGTGGGAAATGGCCTAATACCTCTGCTGAGCACCTCTTTTTCCGGAATATCATCTCGCATATGATGATTGAAGGTGACTGTAGAGTTTCATTTTCACTCCAAATGAAAAATTTGATGCGATGGCTTATTTGAAACATTGGAGTATGAATCACTCACCTATACTCTTTTTCAATGATAGGAAGGAGTTCAGGTATTCCTCTGACAATACCTGTATAAGTCAATTTTAATCATCGACTTTCACGTACAAATTGTGTATCTGAAACCCTTTACAATAAGTAAATGCCTTCAGAAATTGCATGTAAAAGTCACAAATAAGGTATCTGGGTGAGACACAAAATGGCAAGGAATAAAATTGATTGAATACACAATTTTGTTTAGAGAGTAACAGAAGCATGGAGTGTACGTATACACAAGGGAGAGGCCTTTCCTACGGAGCAAGGCAGTTTAAACCTATCAGCCACGACTGGAGCTACGCCTCATCTCCCATTAGTTTCTATTGCGGAATGGCATTTAATATTCCTGACATCGTGTGGGAAATGGCCTAATACCTCTGCTGAGCACCTATTTTCCGGAATATCATCTCGCATATGATGATTGAAGGTGACTGTAGAGTTTCATTTTCACTCAAAATAAAAAAAATTTGATAAGATGGCTTATTTGAAACATTGGAGTATGAAGCACTCACTTATACTCTTTTTCAATGATAGGAAGGAGTTCGAGTATTCCTCTGAATAAAATTCCCCTTCCCTCCTTTTCTTTCCCAACTGAGGCATTAAATAATCATCATCGGAAGTCAGACACGAATTACTGAAAAAAGACTTTTTGGACAATGGCAAGATAGGGTCTGAGTGCCCCAGTTCCGAGATGGCTGTGGCGCCGGACGCCTCTCTCTAGCTTCCTTCCTTCTTTATATTCGCTCTAAGCAGAACCAATTAGATTACGCGAGAAAGTACTGTGTATCCTGGCTGTGTGCTTCCCCGAAAAGTTATGCAACATAGAACTAAGACCAGCCAACAGAGTACTCCCACTGAAACCTGTTTCAAAGCTTTCTGCATAAATCTTTCACCCTCCCTTTTAGGAGCTGGTCCTACAGACTTTGGAAATTACGGAACTGAAGAGAAAACGAAAATTGCGAGTTCTTCTTTTGTAGAAATGATTTCATCTACGAAATACAGTAGAGCCTTTGTATGCCACTAGCAAGCAGAGATGCCACTTAACAACCGAATGCTACAAGGATGGTGCCACCGTGTAGATATGGAGAAAATTGGAACTTCGTTTGTATAGATTTTCTATTAACTTCTACAGTTGGAGTGAATTTGGGAAATGAGCTTTTTCTATCACTATAAATCTATGGGGAACGAGAGAAGAATCATTTAAAAAACTAAACAATAAGCTGCTATGGCCACTACGGATAGAAGGAATGAACAGAGGAAAGTACTGCATGAAATCATACTGCTGTATTCATGAATGTATCGAATTGAAGGTTATTGGTGCTTTTCTCGATTATCCAAAATAAATTATTATCTGAACATTCTTGTATTATGGTCTATTCGAAAACTCGAGGCTCTACTATACGTTGAGCTGCCCCATTGAACACGGGCGTAAGAATCCGACTCGGATTGGAATAGGACGCTGTGCGAGCCGAGCCGGCTGAATGTGGGTCAGTCCCAATGAAATCATCCTTGGTGGAATTTTGCACGAGTCGCGCCTACCTCGGGTTGATCAGCCTCTCAGGCCTACAGCGAGGTTAGATATAATTACATCCTAATTGGATCGGCTTAGACGAAATGTAATTGGAACGAGGCAACTACAGAGCGATTGTGACGAGTTCTTTTATGACCTCGTTTCCATTAGTCCTTAACTGGCCGATTCACATTAAATTACTGCGATACGAGCATAAATGCTGTTACGGAAAAAATGTTGAATACAGTAAGTACAAAAAATATAAATGCAATTCTACCTCTAAAATCGTCACCAAGAAGGAAGTGAAATCGACATCATTGACGATATTACATGATGGATGGCACTGAAAGAAAAAGGTCTAAAAATCTGCTGTTTCGACTCTGACGATGACTGAGTCAATTTCTCCTTGAGTGAAGTGCTTCTCACTCCAGCAATATTCATAATCTTCTTTTTACTTTGCTTCCTCGGGTGAATGATGAAAATTCTGGTCATTCAAGCGTAAGATGATCGCCACCTACTTGTTGAACTCGACGCGTGATCATCATCAATTTCCTAAATATCCTTGCGAAATATTGGAATTTCCCAAAATTCTTGCAACACTTTTTCATCATCAAAATACTCAGCTTTTAGAACACCAACGGGGAAAAGTTTCAAATCGTGGAGTGGCGTATCCTCTTATATCCAGGAATCCACCGCCAACCGTGCCATCACTTTCTCCGAAAGCTGTCTACTTCGGTTTCTCAGCATGGTTTTCTCCACGCATTCCATATCCTGGCGTGTCCCTGAAGCGATTCACGGACCACATTCTTTTACTTGACGATGTCTAATTCTTTCGGGTGGCTGAATGGGACATCAATTGATTCAGGTTATGACGATAAATTTCAGTTGAATGCGACGGCATTCACACTCTGGAGAGGCTTAGAAGGCCTCTGGCAGATGAATAACACCGTCTAAAAAAATTCGGTGACATGTGGGTGCATAGGGAAAAGCCATACTCTTCGTATGGCATGGGAGAAGAAAATTAGACTTCATGACAGTCGACATGGGAGCAGACGCGTTTCTTCACGCTGGATAACTTAACCAGACAGATCCTAGTGCGGCTTTTGGAGAAACGATGACCCAAATAATAATTGTTTTTATGGGCGTTTTGCGCAGATCAGAGTTTCACCTATCCGAAGACATAAAAATGATCTGAGGTGAAGCTCTAGGCGTTAAGAATTTCGATTGCGCATAAGTGTTTTTAGTGAACAGACCTTTGAAGAACAGTTATAATGGGAAGAAATTTATAAATGATATATCATAGAATTATGTCGTAAAATCTATATAGAAGGAAGTTATTAATGGAATGAGAAAAATATTCCCAGGAATAGTTGAGAGCTGACAAGCTTCAGTTCCAAGCAACATAATTTTCCAGTCTGCTAGCCGCTAGACTCCCTTTTGAATCGAGTCTTCTAATGACGATGGAATAGGAACGAACAACTTCAGCGTAAGGAAAACTTTTAAATGGGTGCTAGCACGATCATTCGTAGGCTGTCCCAATTCGGAACCCCCAATGGGAAGCAAGGTTCACCGAGGTGAACGCGGTCGAACTCTGCGCCGACTGGGTGGGAACCGATCTTTTCGTGCTCGCTGGATGAAATCCGCTCAAGGCGAACCGTGACTGCACTGCACCTTGCGTGAAACTTCCATCTGTCGTGTTCTTCTATTCGAATCTTTCGTGTTCTTCTATTGACCGGGTCTTCCGTGAAGTGCATGCTAGACTGTCCCGAGTCAAGTCCGCGCCGACATCAAACGATCCAGAGAATGTCGTGTGGCTTTTTTTCTTTGCCAGACTCGTCGAAGAGCGAGAATGCAGAACTCGAACTGCTGCTCGCTCTGCTCGAGTCTCAGTGGTAGGCTGAGCATCGTCCAACTTAACGTTTATCCGGCTCAAACCTGATGACAGCTGCTTTGCTCGGGAGGGTGAGGTTTGCAACGATGCACTTGATAAACAAAACCTACTCCGTGACTCACATTATCTCGTGTAAATATAGCAGCACCGAACAATGAGGGAGTGCGGCTCTCTGGGGCCTTATGCATATGCTATGATCGATGATATGCAGGTCGATAAGCCTCGGCAAAGAAGCAAATTGCATCGGAAACGCCTAAGTGATGTCATGCAGTATCGGTGTTCCGTTATTAATTACATGGCACCGGACGCATTTTCTATTCCCGATCGGGATAAATCCCATTTCGATGGCAAAAGTCAGAGTGAGGCGATTCGTTTTCGTAAGAAAAGAGGCAAGAACCTACGAAATTCCCACTACTGGGAATTGAAGTCCTAAATGGAGACATGCCCAGCCTTGAATATTGACTGTCCCGCAGGATCCCCAAGCCGAGGGTCTCCATGTTCAAGGCAACTTAGCAAAAACTTATTTCGACCGCAAACTTACTTGGCTTGTCTTTTATTTTATTTATAAGTTTTTTTCTTTACTACTTTTGCCTAAAGGATGAAAGTGCAAAGTGAGTGAGCATGGAGAACACGAGTTCGAATCACCAGGAGATCTGGGGTCCACGTCGAGCCCCATTAGATGAAGCCATCCCCGTCACGATACTTTACATCCTCATCTTCTTCACGGGGGTGACGGGAAACCTCTGCACGTGCTTCGTGATCGCCCGGAACCCTCACATGAGGACGGCCACCAACTACTACCTTTTCAACCTGGCCGTTTCGGATCTCCTCTTCCTCGTCATCGGTTTACCAGAGGAACTCTATCTCCTCTGGAGTCGCTATCCTTACATATTTGGCGAAATGTTTTGCGTCGTAAAAGGTCTCGTCTCCGAGACTTGTACCAATGCCAGCATCCTCATCATTACCGCCTTTACGGTCGAAAGGTCTCTCTCCGGCTCTCGCAAAACCGAACTAAAATAGCATGGACGTCTTTGTTTCATGCTGTCTTTCTCATACTCGTCCATCCAGGTACATAGCCATCTGTCATCCGTTGAAGGCGGCCACGATGTCGAAGCTGGAACGAGCGACGAAGATCATCATAGGGATATGGATCGTGGCTTTCTGCTCCGCGGTACCGCAGGTTATCCCGTTCGAAGTCAGGACGGCGACCACGGACAACGGGACGGTCATCCCAGATTTCACTGCTTGTGACGTGAACCAGAGTTATGTCACGTATTCCCAGGTCGCCCTCCAGGTCTCCACCCTCCTCTTCTTCATCTTCCCCATGGTCCTCATCTCGGTTCTCTACATCAAGCTCGGTTGGAAACTTCGACATTCCGGATTTCGATCGATCCAAGTGGAGTGCAATGGGGATGTCACCGATAATTGTCCTCTCTCCAAGACTCCACGACATTCCACTGATGCCGTCATCAAAATGCTTGGTAAGACTCCTTCTATTTTCCTGCCCTTCAAATGCCTTGCACTACGTAAAATCAGCGAGTCTCTCAGCATCCGAAGGACCTAATGAATAGTTATAATATATGATAGCTGATTCTTTCATCTATGCGCAGCTGCTCCTGGTGGCATTAAATGTACCATGATTTCTTTGAATTTCACAACGGAATGCTCAGATTTTCCCATACATTCCTTAAGCCATGAATTTTAATCGATTCAACAAAATATCATTGCCCTGGTGCTTCCGTTCAGAGAAAGTAAAGAAAGTTAATGTTGAAATGGATGGGAAAGTTGAAAAGCCGTGAGCACATATGTCTACTAAAGTGTGTACCTGCTGGTTGCTATTCTCAATTATTTCAGCATTTTGAAAACCTGGAGCAATTAATGAATTCTGCTTAGCATCACAGGCCCACTGAGGCACTCTCATTTCAATATAAGGTTGCCCAATATTAACAATGACAGCAATGACATGCAAAAAAAATTTTCGATTTGAAATGGAGGTTTCCAATATGCCAGGTGATTGATCCAATTTCTCTGAGCCAACATATTCATATTATTCACCCTCAAAGCATAAAATTGTGATACATGTACTTGAATCTCCATTTTCATAGATAAGAGAATGAGCTATCTTAGGATATAAATATTTTCCAGGTTTCTGTTTCAAATACTAAGGAATACCTAGTGTCAAACCTTTTTAGGGCAGGGATTTCGCTCTGCATAATCTATTTCTCGTGAACTCGGATAGCGTATTGAATACAAGGAGTCGACTTTTCATGATCAATGGGATTTTGTCCGTCCTGATGTAATCCTCTCATCATCATTATCATCCTTCCCTCCCTCTTTTGGCTCCATGAATGTGGCATTGGCTTGGAGCAAATGGACCTCTCCCATTCCTAAAAATGGCACGAACAAATTTTTCAGCGTCGAAAGATCTATGTACTGAAGGAATTGAGATAGAAGATAAGAGTGATGGATACGAATCGACGGTTGTATCGATGAAATCTCCACCATAAACTATGACTCGACTCCTAATCCTCTCCCTAGAGACAAGGAATCTCATACGAACCCAGACCAATTACACTTGATATATATACAGTCCTAAGGGAGTAATGAATCCTGTCTTCTGCCTTAAGCGAATAGACCCGAGTTCTGTCGAGAGGAGTAAAGAAAGGTAATTAATGCCTCATATTCATGAAAAAGGAGCCAGGCATCGATCAGATGGACACACAAACTGGACCAATGCAATTCTTTATACCTCTCTCTCTCCTTCCGCAAGAGGTCAGCCCATGGTTGTTTTTTTTTTATCGGACTATTTGCGATCGAAAAGATCGCAGTTTCCGTCTGATCCAGACCCATTCCGGATTCATCCATCTCAATTCACGGCTCCAGTAAATTCCGATTCCCCGTTCGGAATCGACTCGCGAGACGTACCAATGTTCTCGAGATTGGTTGTAGGACATGTCAGGATGTATTTTGCCACTCTCACCCAAGGAATCGACTCGTTCGAGGACAGAAAAACAAAACCATGGTTATCCCTTAGTCGAGCAGCAGTATCGAAGAGAGTTCTTCCAATTCCAATCCCTTGATATTTATTCGTTCTCCCTCCCCCACGAACCCGGAAGGAAGATCAGTTTACCCTGGAATGCGTGCAAGTGAAGGAAAGCTCCCTCCGATATCCCCTCGTTACCATTATTCTCGAATGCCGTGTCGATGGGAAACGAGAAACCGCGGGAGGCTTCATATGGACGGCGGTGAGTCTATAGAAATTCCCCAGCAGTCACTCTTGGTCATGCTCCCTGCCTTTGAAGACCCCAAGCGCACAGTCGCACACGATCAGAATGCAAATGCGTAATGCCGCTCCGAGGGGGTAGAGGAATTGGATTCCCATTCCATGCCCTATGCCTCCGTATGCAGTAACAAGGGAGGAAGTGTAAATTGAATCAAAGCTGAAAGAGTCCGGTATTGAATCTGCGTTGGAAATGGCGGTGGCTCCAGTTCCCTCCGTCTATGAGAAAATCCCCTCTCCAGTCGGAATTCGCTCCATGCTCGACTCCGACACGTTTTGCCTCTTTGTAATTCCTTGCTTCGATCACCATCATCATTAGTCTTCCCTTATTTCTCTAATGCGACATTCTCGTTAACTTCACCCCTTGCCATGACGTCCATTTGAGAGGGTCAATTGAAGGGAATTCAAAAACTATCTTTACATAACATAAATAGCGAAAAATGAACTACCGAGACTTTCATTCCGACTGTCGCACTCGTACTGCCAGACTATCATGGCAATCGCGGGGGCTTCAGTCGTTAAAAATACTTTCGATCCCAACAAATAAAAATGCTTTAAGCGGAATGCTGCAGCTGCGTGCTATTCAGGGAGAAGGGTGTAATAGCTACAATATAAAACAAGTTCTGTCGGCGAGCTGAATCGAGGATACATGTTGCACAGACGAGCCAAGTCGGAAATGTGCCAATCCCACCCAGCCCCTCGACTCGTTCTTGAATCCCACTTACGCACGTCATCATCGCTTCACGAGCACCCACGACTTATCGGATTCTTTTCCTCCTTCGTCTCTTTGCACGCAGGATTGTTCGCGCAGACCACATAGTTTTGCCCTTCGAGTGCTTCTCGGAACACCACACGCTACACGCTGACTTCGAAAACTCTGGCTCTCATACAGAACGCCTCCGTTTTTCATTCCGAAGCTCTCGAGGCTGATCATGACCCCTGGGCCAAGAATAAGGAAAAGACGGTTTCGTAAAAACTAAGAGCCCGAGTTTCAGTGTAACCAGCAGAATCGAAAGGAACGTCTCCGAATGCAATGGGTGTGGCCTGATGACCTCTAAAACGATGCTTCACTTTCCTTGGACAAACGATTATAGGCTTCTCTGGGCCCGAACAGCCGTTGGGTGTCTTCACGGTGCATGAAAGAAACGCATAGACGAGAAACGTGCGACACAGTGACTGCACGCAATCACGAAACACTTGCACAAACCGAGAAGTAGAAGATATCGGCATGCAAACACGCACTGCACCAGATCCCGATAAGAGAAAACTTCAAGAAGCTTGCCCGAAGAAGGAAAACCTGTGCGCGCGGAATAGGTTGCATGCCTCCGGCACCAGGTGAGACTGAAAACGACATCTGTCGGGGTCGTGGGGAAGCCAGCTTACCCAGACCAGAAGGCATGCCAACAACGTATTCGATTCCTCACGCACGTATTCCAGGCAACTTACTGCTTTGGATCGACATCTACTCAACTTTCTCTTTTTACGGCTTCCTGAGAGGGAACTACTACTTCATACGCTTGCCTTCATGGTAGTCCATCAAAAATAATGGAGCACGGGCAAACGGGAGAAAAAGTCAATCTGAAAACGTTGTAATGTTTTCATTTTGAACCCGTATCACCTTTAACAGTCACTGTTGGTTCAATGGTTCGCTCAAAAGGTAGAACGAATTCGAAATAACATTGTAGGAACATAGCTAATCAAAGGTCGTATTTCACAAGGTACTCACATGCCGTCACTCAAAATTGCAAGGTCTACTTCACTTAAAAACTCACTATTGCAAAACAACTTTCTTTTAACTGGCATGCTATAATCCTCTACTATTGATGGCATTCACGCACATGCCTTAGCGCTGGCTTCATAACGAAACTGCCTAATTCTGAATGAAAATGCGAAAGTTAATGATCGCCGCATTCACGAATGAACATTAGCAGAAGCTCAGCATTAATGAGATTTTCAATGGCGGCGGTCCCCAACATTAAAGGATGATGGGGAGCTTCAGCATTCGTTATAACCAATTATACCGATTCCCAATTAAGCTAATGCTCGTTTGTGAATACCAACCTATACCTCTTTTTTTTTTCCTGACAGGGACAAAGGCGGAACTCGCACGGAAAAGATTAAAGGAGGCCATGGACCTCGTCCATCTTTTATGTATCAGTCCTGCACGTGCTGCTACCGATAATCGAGAGCATGAATGCAGCATATTAAATGGATAAAGACTTTGAATTGTCCACCTTCACAATACTCGGCTATAATTTTATCCAGTTGAGAGGAAACCTAAAACTGGGGAAGAAAGCCTAGGTCTATGATGCCTTTCCGTGCGAGTTTCCGACGTCACAACCAAGAAAAAGTGAGACATGGCGTCCTTTCGATGCATTTCAGTGGCCGTGGTGATAGCATTCTTCGTATGCTGGGCCCCATACCAAGCCCAGAGGTTGTTGGCCATCTACGGTCCAAGCCAGAACCCGAACGACGAAAGTCTACGCAGGGCCTACCAAGTCCTCACTTCCGTCTCGGGAGTCTTCTACTATCTCTCGGCCACCATCAACCCTATCCTCTACAACATCCTTTGCTCCAGATTTCGCGAGGCGTTCAAGGTATTCCACTCATTCATTATTTTTCGTCTCCTCATTGCGACCAATCCGGTGCTGTATGCTATAGATTCGGCTAACAATGGAATACGAGCGCTCTTGGAGACTGCAATTAGCATGGAACTTCTTTCGTAGTGGATGAACAAAGTAACTACCTTAAATGCACGTTGCTCGTTATGTCAGCTTCCGTGATAATATCTAAAATGAAAGTGGGACGGTAAGAATCAGAATCCCAACCAAAAATAAGCTACATGCAGGCTACTAAACCAGATGCTATCAGCAGGAGACAATTAAGATACTGAACTAGGAATTACCACATTACCGCAGGTAATGTGGTAATTCCTAGCAGACTGACAATTCCTAGCAGACATAAGACTAGCTTATGAGTAAAGCCTGTCTTAGACAGAAACTCAAGACACCAAGGAAATGTTCCCAAATTAAGTTTCTGCCTCATCCAGGCTCCATTTTAGACAGGTCTTATTGTACATGCTATTTTTCCCTGGGATGTTCTCCACACACGCATTGATACTACGGAAGGCGTACGAACACTTCTACACGATCGAAGGTTTCATTTCGCACATGCTTTTTCAAGGTTATCGAACTGACTACAACAGAGGAAACCTTTATTTTTTAGTTTGTCAGCAAATCCTCCCTCGAATGATTTTTTAATTTTTATTTTATTAGCAAATCCCTCCTCGAAGGAATTTTCCTCTTATCTTCTGCCTGCAGAAGTCATAACATCCAATTACTCTCAGAGTCTGGAGAAATTTAATGGACCTATTGAGCATGTACCCCAGAGCCAAAGAGAGACGGAAGGGCAAAATGGGATCTCGGACACAGAGATGATGACGAGCGAGAGTGATAAGACTTGTCTCTTTCGCTCATCCAGCTCCCTGGCAGCTTTCCAATAGCTCTGAGAAAGCAAGATACCCTGCTCCGACTTTTCCAAGCTATTTGTGCGAGGATATCCGAATCTCCGCGTGACACTCCTTCATTCTCACCACTGCCACAAGTTCCTTTCCGGAGCCCCTCGACGAAGTTAGGCCGGAACCGCTTCGGGCAAAGGGAGATGACATGAGGTAAAATTTTTCTCCTTGATGAGAAGTTACGAAGCCCAGAATCGCCCGAATAACTAACTCATCCTCCATCTTCATGGAGTCGGGTATAGATAGGGCCCTAGGAAAAAAAGGAAACTTCGATGCTATCTAAATCGAAGGGAAGATGATCTGACACGCCAGGGGTGCTGTCTGCACCTCTCTTTCGGCCAAGATTATTGGGCCTAGCCTATAGATCGAGCTCATTGGAGGCAGATTCCTTCACATTTTCTCGATAACGATCGGCTGCGTTCGGTTCAACGAAGCACAGACTTTTTTTCCCTCGGGATCCAGATCCATTGGGTTCACCGATGCCGATAGCATACCTCACCCGAAACTCGAGCGAGTTACCTCGTCTGCAGCGAAGGGGAAACGACTGATAGTGGTTGGAACCCGACCCGCGACGGGCTGCCTTCCCCTATTATCCGCTCTCGCCTTGATCACTCGGAGCTTCGTAGCATGAGAAGTAGGTGTTGGGCTTAACCACCGTCTGCATCTGCCCCGGTCGTGGTGGGTTCAGAACCTCGAATTCCCAACACCTTCCACAGGGCCTTGGATGACGAGTTATGGTCATAGAAGACGAGCCGATGCCATCTCGACTTTTCTTACCGTAGGTGTAGCCACGCGTGGCTCTGTTCCTATCTGCGTCCCATCCAAAGTGCCTGTTAAAGCAAAAAATGAAAACGAGCGGCGTCCTGTAGATACAAAGGGTTCAAAGATACTCCGATATTCACCAGTGACTGGGGATCAGGAAAACAAGCAAAAAAATTTCTATGTAGGAGACGATTGGAAATCAGTGCGGAGAGGGAATAAGGCTAAGGGCCTACCGAGCCTACCGATCCCGGATCGATTCAGGAAAGGAAAACAGCTCTCGCGGTCTCATCACCTGTGAGTCCAATCCCAATATAAAAATCAATGACGTCGAAGTCGATGATGATTTTGCACAGCTGCAATTGCAAATTGCCACGACGTATATTCGTTCTCCGTTGAATGTGGATTGTCTCCCGTTGCATTCACTTGGGCTTAAGGTGTGTTCCAGCACTAACTCTTTTCGTTGGGCATGTTGGTGTATGTTTGACTAATGATTGTCTTCGATATCACGATCGGGCACTTCGTGTCGTTTCTCCTTCCTGGACGACGGTGTATGAACGTATATCTGTATTTCTCAGAATTCTCAGAATTTTTCAAGGGCATCGTGCCCGGTAGTTCTATGCATTCATTATTATTATTATTATTATTCGCTAAAGCATCTGTAGTGAGGAGCGATGACGACGGTGAATTCACGATGAAAACAGAACCTTCAGGGGACACAATAGGATGGCATCTGTAGAAGGAAATTCCTGGAGCAGATCTCGGATCTGTCGGCGGAAGATGTTAAAAGAAGCTCCTGTCGTGCAGACTGAATCATGGTGGAAGATATTAACTTTTCGAAGGACTTCAACGCTCAAGAAAAATTTCAACGAGAATCTCGCCGCTTTTCGTCTCAAAATTCCTATTAAAGGCTTCCGTCGAAGAGAGAACCGCATACAGACGAAGTGCTTCATTTCAATCAAACCCGTATAAAAACAGAGTGAATGCGAACTCGTGCAAGATTTTGTCCTCTGAACCCAAGCTGCTCGAATCACGTGACTTTTTCTCGCCTTCCCTAATACACTCACCTAAATCCAATTGGGACCAAGGTTAAACCTTGCACCAACTCGAATTGTAAATCGGCATAAATCTAATTATAACCAGTACATGCACGTCTATTGCCTGCTTCCCCTTTTCAGACTGCTTTTAAATAAGGCAGATTTGACAGAGGCGAGTCCTGGTGGTTTCAGGTTTCACGTCATTCCATGCCGATGGAATGCGGAGGGTAGGAAGTTGAAGCGTCTCCGCCCGGAATGGAAGGAATTCCATTTTCAATACTCTCCATTACCGGATCTAATCTGCTTTCGAAATTTACCGTGAATCTGGTTTCGACATGGATATCGAGGACCGGAGCGGTTCTTTGGGGTAGATGGAAAGCCAAAAGCGAGTGGAGTTAACAATCCGTTCCTGATTTCCCGCAAACTTTCCTCTCCCTTCAGCTCCTCCTATATCAAATTATAGCCAACCTCCTCGGTTTCCCTCCCCAATCTGGCGAGTCTTTCTTTTTTGCGTCGCGTTCATCTTTCCCTTTCCATTCTCCATGTGGGGCTCGTCCTCTTCCTCTTGGCCCCAAGGGAAAGGAAGAATGCGCGGAGAGAGGCGAGGAAGTCACCAAGGGATGGGGATGAGGATGAGGACGAAGATGAAGGAGGAAAATAAAAGAGAGGAATGGCCGGAAAAGAGTGCACCCAGGATTCATTTTAGAGAACCATGGGTCACCATGGTCATACGTGACTCGTGTACCATCTGTGTTACGTCTAGATACAAAATCTTATTCTCCTGTTTCACTTTAAAAACCCCCCTTCGCTCTTGAAAAAAAAGGAAAGAGGAAACTCTTTCCTGAGACTGCAGACATTTTGACAGGCCCCGTTTTGGACAATTTTCTTCACATGAAAGCTCGGGGAATTCTGTTGGAACTTCCTCCGGGAATATCCAATCAAATGTCACTCCGACTCCGTATTTCAATCTCTTATCTCTCGTCTATCGCATTCAAATCCTTCCATGTTTTAAAGACAGGAAAGACACAAATTAAATGAAATGTCCTCTCCCGTGCATGATGAGTTGATTGTACAATGGGAGACCGAGAAGCGAAAGCTCATCCATTCACCCGGTACGAGATCACGATGTAAAGAGAATTTTCTTCCTCTTGCCTACCCCGGGGAAACAGGAAACGTTTCGGATGTGCGTGCAAGGCGGATCGGGACCAGGGAGATGGGGCAGCATCCCGACGGGAGTCCAGGAACTCACCACGTTGACGACATCCTGTCGGACGATGGTTACTCGTCGCTTTTCCTCCACCGATGCGCCCATTCCCAAACGAACCTCCGTCGTGTGATCTCTTGCAGTTTCTCTCTCCTCAATTTTTCATAATTGATTCTATAATTGTTGTTCTGAACGTTCCATTATCCATCGGCAGATCATTAACTCTCCACAATATATCTTGTACATTTCGTGTCAAGTTTCAGTGGATTCGGAATAAAGTGCGCTTTTTTCTCAAAGCGAAGACAGAAGGACCAATGAGGCGAGGCGCATGATGGCTGCCTGTCTTTTTTTCATCGAATCGAGGAGAGCCCTGGCTTCCTCTTCAATCATGAAAAACCTCATTAAAAAATTAAGTGAGGCAGACCTGTATTTATGCTCCTCGGGCACGACATCAAGAATTCATAATTCATTGCCTGCAACAGCGCATATTACTTATCGCATGAAACATCCATGACCTCAACGCACATCCAAATTCCATTTAATGATCAGAAAATAATCCACAAATGAAATGTGAGTTCTAAGACACGATTGAAAACTTTATAGAAGAGTTCAGACAAGGCAGTCAGATATGCAAGATTGGAGAAGGAGAAAGAGCAGTGCAGTCAGTGGTGACGCAACATTTGGGCAAAGGTAGCATACATCGGCTATTTCGTGGATGGCCACCCCCCTTCTCACCTCTAATCCCCTCAACATTCCCTGCCCCCTTTTCACCTCTAATCCCCTCAACATTTCCTGTCCCCTTCCCACCCTCCACCTCAGGAGAAAATTCAAATTTAAAATTCATGAGAGGTCAATTGGAATGAATGCTCCCGCACCAGATGGATCCCGATATAGTATCAACTAGCGATCAGCTAAGTTTTTTCAACTGTTCCCAACTATGTTGATACCAGCAGGAATGAAGGATCAAGACGATTGGAATGATGCCTTTTTCCAACTCGCAACTGAATAAAAGAGTTCATTCTGATGGCTCTGGGTCGGTGTAGCCCATCACACCCATCGACCGTGCACCGTGCAAAGCTTGTATCGATGCGGCCACTAAGATGAGTTATTGATACATCACGGAAAGAACCGGTCGATCGGATGAAGCACCCCGCAAAGTGTGCAACAGGAAATGAAAGACTTTCCCAAGTCTTCTGCTCCACACGT